CCCCCACTGGGTGAAAGATGGGCCCAGAAGAAAACTGGATCGTGCTTCCCACCCTTGATGTGATGCTCAAAGACTATTACAGAGCTAAGCGCTTTGTCCACCTGAGCAGAAACAGTCATGAAGCTGGGAAAAAAACGTGGGGACTGTTTCTGACGAGCCGGATTAAAATTAATAATTAAAAAAAAAAAAAAAGCATAGCACTAAACAGACCACGGAAAGGACATGTCTACAGAACGAGAGCTGAAGCAAGAAGGAGCACATGTCCCCGTTGACTTCCACTGGGAACGTGTGGGTCCAGCCACCCCCATTTTCCATCACTCTGCACGCACTTTCCTTCAACTGAATTCTAGGGAGCTGCACCCGTGATAGACATTTACTGTACCCGGGGCTGCCCAACACAGAGCAAGTGAGAGCAAACTGATTTTTGGGTTAACTGTATTTATTCTCACATCTATAGAGCCAGTGTGTGCAGACTTCACACTCTGCATCGCAGAACCCTGCACAGACGGAGCGGACCCTAAATACACAAGTAAACAAAGTAAACACAGCAACGGGAACCAGGCAATAACCCAGGAAGGTCCAAAATAAAGTGTGAGACGCAAAAATGGAATATCTTAATAAAATGGAAACGTGTTCCCAGTATACTGCCAAACAGGTTATCAAAATGGCATCTTGAGTATAATTCTATTTTCATAAAAGTGTGTGTGTGTGTGTGGATACAACTATGAGTGTATATTCATTTCAGAAAAACATAAGTGTGTGTGTGTGTGTGTGTGTGTGTGTGGATACAACTATGAGTATATATTCATTTCAGAAAAACATGACAAGAAAGTTATAATAAAATCTCAATAGTGGTTGATTTGGGGTAGTAGAATTATAAGTAATTTTTATTTTCTTCTGTTGTTTATCTGTATTTTACAAATTTTCTAAAATTAGCATGTGTTACTTTGGTATGAGAAAAATTAATTTTACATTTTAAAATAAATTGAAATATAACTTCAAAATGCTTAAGTGTCCCAAATACGGCCTGTTTTGCCTTCCCTGCCCTCACTAAAACATCACTTACGGAACTTTCTGTAGCAATCTTCAATGATCCAAAGACGTGATTGCATATTTGCTTCTATTCTGCAATGAAGGTCTAATAACCCTGCATGAGCAATAAATAAAAGACAGGAAAGCCACCCATCAGAACACTTCCTCTCTACCTGGGCATAGTGTAGGAGCTTCTCGGTGGCCTCGGGGTCTTTATTCCAGATGAGATCTTCACAGAGGTGGAGAAGGTCCTTATGGATATCGTCATACACGGGGAGGTTGCCAGCATTCACGATCCCCATGTCCATGCCAAACTGAGGGAGATACAAAGAAAGATGAGAATCCCCAGTGACACTCTAGACCAGGTCTGCAAACTTCTTCTGGGGCCAGAAGGACACAGTCAGGCCATCATGTCTGTCGCAGCTACTCAGCTCTGCCACCGCAGCATAAACGCACCACAGACAACCCGCAAGTGAGCGGCTGCGGCTCTGCTCCAAAAAGACTTTATGCACAGAAACCAGCAGCGAGCCAGAGTGGGTCTGCGGGTTTGCCGGTTTCAAGGGAACAGGTGTCCGACCGTACCTGGATTGCATGGTAAAGGAAAACCCCATGCATTGCTTCTCGAATGGCTTCCATTCCTCGGAAGGAGAAGGACAAGTTGGAAAGACCACCACTTATTTTGGCTCCAGGCAATGTTTCCTGGCAAAAATTAAAGAAGTGAAAAGATTACCCTATTTTGCCAAATACAGCAATCGCATCCCTTGAGCTTTATATATGAGTGGAAAGTGAAAAAAACATATCAAGTTCAAGGTTCCCACCGCGTCTTATGACAATATCAAGCATTAGCACATATGTAGAACAGGAACTCCCACTCAAGCACGAACGGGCTCAAGCACAGAGGGAGACAGCCTCCACTACCAAGCACCACCAGGACCCAGCAGTCCCGCTTCCAGGCGCGTCCCAGAGACGCTCGTGTACGTGAGCCCCAGATACACATACGGGAAGCTCGCGGCAGCACTGCTGGCCATGTCCAAAAACGGGAACAAACCCAACGTCTATCAACAGCAGAACAGTTGACTGTGGAATAATTGTGCAACGGAACAGCACACATTAACAAAAACGAACAACCTACAGCTAAGACACCGATGAATCTTGAAAACGAAGTTGGGTAAAAGGCATAAGAATCTTAGATTCTATTTCTATTAAGCTCAGAAACAGGCAAAACTAAATTATACTGTTTACGCAGTCGAGTCTGTTACACAGTGATAATTATGTTCTAAAAAGTCACCACAAATGCCGAATCAAGGAACACTGAAAACCACTGTTTCTGAGAAAATATAGGTTTCGACTCCTGCGAGCCTCCGGCCACAAAACTGCCATCAACTGATAAATGTATAACCTTATTTTATGTGCGTTTCCATTTAAAGACATCTGTTTAATGGATCTGGTTGACTCATCCACCTGAGCTCACAGCCAGCAGCACTGCAACTCATGCCTTAACAAAGCTCCCTAACACGCACCTCCCCCGCAAGCACGCCACGGCCTTCTTGCTCTGAGGAGCACCAGACTGCACTTCAGGGGCCTCTCAGAGAAACCGAGCACCGAGAAAAAGCTCAAAAAAATAAAAAAATTTTAAAAAGCACGGAGGGAGCAACCGGGGGGATTGTTTTATGAACTACACAGATGTCTAACCAATGTACTGGGTACTTGAGGC